GGGTTTAGGGTTTAGGGCGAAGCTGTGTAAACTTGGGCAGCTGATTGCAACATGAATGGGATTCGAATCCGATCGAATTAAACCTACGTACCCGATTGATTCAGTCCAGTTCCTTCAGCATGTGTGGGCATCAAGTCATCTGCAACAGCAGCAGCGGCAGCCAGGGTATCTAGACTCTACCTAGTGGGTCATAGAGGTTAACTCTGTGGTTAGGAGTTGGATCTGTTATATCGTAAAGCAGAATGGAAGCTAGAATTGCACCTGAAGAGGTAAGACGTACATCTATTGCAACCAGGAACGGGCAAGTGAGGATCAAATTTCGGCTGCTTACGGTACCATCATGTATCGAAATTATGGGACACTACATGCACCTTTTGAAGATGCTAAGCTGTGCCCTAAACCCTAAACCAATAAAACAATAATTCGACGAGGTGTCTGTGACGCAGATTTTCAGGGCATCCTAAATCCCACCATCGAAGCTAATGCGGGAGTTGTTCCAGAAGCGCCATGGCAAGGGCTTAGGGTTTAGGGTTCAGGGTTTAGGGTCTACGTCTACACATCCTTGGTGGCATGAGCTATATTCAAAGTATATCAGAAGCTTTCGTATGCGACCTCAGACATGTAACGAACAACGTGTCTTAGGATGCCCCAGAGGTCCAGGTACCCAGACAGTATATACTTTGGCCTTCGGTATCACCATGCCTTCCCTGTATAGGTACTTTAGGTACAGAGTGCATACATACTAAATAACTTAACCCTAAGCCCTAAACCACACCCTAAACCCTAAACCCAGATTTGAGCACATGGAGCCGTAAGGGTCTAGAGGGTACCTCCTCAGTTGGAACAACTCCCGCGCGGCTTTGTACAGGATGAAACTTCCTGGTTCGCAGGGTGGGTTCAAGGTTCAGGGCTTAGGGTTCAGGGTTTAGGGTTTAGGGTTCAGGGTTGAGGGTTCAGGGTTTAGGGTTTATGGTTTAGGGTTTCCAAGGCTTTTCAAGGGTTGTTGCCCTTTGGATCCCTCATGAATCCCTGTATCGACTACGTCTACTGCACTATAGATCCCTGATAAATCCAGCTTCCGGTATTCTGGCGCTGGGAGAAAATGTGTTAGTGAAGGCCGAAAATCTTCCAGCTCTGTAATGATCTGATGGACCGATTGCTTGTTTTGATGCCAATGCCCAGAGACTTTCAAGACCCACACAGCCTGAACCCTAAACCCCACCGGCCAGACTTTCAAACCCAGGCTTTGCGGCACATGGTGGGCGGCTGCAGTGGGCTCTGCTGCAAGGCGAGCATGCAAGTCGGTCTGTCCTGCACTTGAGGGTTCAGGGCTTCATAGGGTTTAGGACTTAGGGTTTAGGGCTTGCGGTTGAGGGCTTAGGGTTTAGGGCTTATGGCTTTGGGTTCATGGTTTAGGGCTTAGGGTTTAATTCGGGGTTACGGTTTAGGGCTTAGGGTTTATGGCTTAGGGTCTACGGCTTAGGATTTGGTGATATCAGATGCGATAACGGCTTCTCTCGAGGTGGCAGATGAACTGCAGGTTCATGGGCAGATCTAAGCGGGGCCACCCTAAACCCTAAACCCTAAACCCTACACCCTAAACCCGCAAGTACTTACCTAAATATTAGAACTATACCTAAAACCCTAAGCCCTAGACATAGTTGCGCCTGGAGAAGCCTCATTTTGTAGCTTTAGCCTGGTTGATTGTTTGCAGCTCTAACCTTTCGAACGCTAAACCCTAATCCCTAACCGTAACCTTTCTCATCTCGAAACCCTAAACCCTTATTTTGGGGGTTCAGGGATTAGGGTTTGATGATGCAGGCTGGCGAAGTTAGGAATCCTTGCCTAGAGCTTGGGGTTGTGCTGTCAATGGACGCATCCTACTTGCCTGAGTCTAGTGTCCTAGCAGAACAAATATAAAGGCTACATTTGGAATAATCTAGGGGTTCTACGGTTGATGATATAAACCCTGCATTACCCATAATTCGGAATGTACCATAATTCTCATAGTTTGGGAAGTTTAGGGTCCTCAAGTCCTCAAGGTAATGCAGGATTTATATCATCAACAGTAGCACCCCCAAAAAGGCTCAAGGTTACCTACTCATACTACTAAGTGCAGCAATTGATTTCTCAACGTCTTGGTATTGGGGAGGTTTAAACAGGACCTAAGACTACCAAAAAAAAGGAACAAGGGCTCACTGCAAGGTCTAGGCATTCACCTACCCTTCTAACGAACTATATACATATGTATATACAGGAACCCTAAAAGCTTATGATTCTGCTACTCAGGCTTACTAAAGCATCCCGGGTGTCCCGGTCGCTGTAGTTGTCGAGCAGCGCTCGCGCTGCCCTGAGATGATTGGCCTCCAACTTCGGCTTTAACCCGGTCAGGGGTTGAAGGTTTAAGTTGTTAACCCAAGAGTCCAATCATACACTCTCCAAAATCCTAACCTACATAACTACTATCCTAAAACCGAGTACCTAACTATTGGGTCCTTTGGACCCTTAGAGTTAAGGATCTTTGGCTTAGGGTTGCGGGTTTAAGGGGTTGAGGGCTTCGACTTCAGGGTTCACCTTAGCCCCAAGTACCCTAGCTTTGCAGGACTTACAGCAGAGGGGTATCACAACAAGGAGCCCTAAGAATGTAGGTTTCCTAGGGCCTAGGTGAGGACCCTAGACCCTAAACCCTAAACCCTAAACCCTAAACCCTAGACCCTAAACCCCAAGGCTTCAGATGGGCCCATGTAGTACATACTTAGGCCTTAAAGTGCCTATGTAGGGACTCCTCTAAGGCCTACGTATATACTATAAGGGTACATGACATGCAGCCTTAGGGAAACCTACTGAGCTTAGGGCAGGGAAGCTTCTCTCAGCATCTTGCTCTCCGCTGGTGCCGGGGGTTAGGCTTCAGGGTTTCGGGTGAATTGCCGCAGGGTTGGAGTATCGCCCTAAACCCTAAACCCTAGACCTTAAACCCTAAACCCTGGACCTTACACCCTAAACCCTAGACCTTAAACCTTAAACCCTAAACCCTGGACCTTCAACCCTAGACCCTAGACCTTAAACCTTAAAGCCTAATCGGGCTCTGGATGTCTCGAGTCAATGTCTCGAGTCATGCTCTCGGGCCTTATGGGCTCTGAATAGCCGCATTTCGGGCTGAGAATCCTCCGTTCGACTGCTTTTTTCGAGACCTGTCCCCATTAATGTAGGGGCCTTAGTAGTCAAAATACGGCTTTGGGCTCTTTTTAGCGTATGGTCATAGTAAGGAACGCTAAGGAATAATGTAGTGCTCGGGTTCAGGGCATGAGCGTTGCGATTGTCGGCCTTTGCAACGATCTAAACGATCTATTAGCACACCCTTTAAATCACACCCTAAACCATAAACATCCCTAAACCCTAAACCCCAGACCCTGAAGCCCTCGCAGCATCGATCAACTCAACCCCAAACCAACTTCGAAGCCTGGATTCAAGGTTCTTCTTGGGTGCAGTACAGTGGCATGTAGGAGTTAAAAACGAACTCCTGTGATTAAGTGATACCTACTGAAGGGCAACTTTAACCTACGAATCTCGCTAAGCCCGAAATCGCAACGTGAACCCTGATTCTCCAGCGATGCCAAGTGTCTGCAACCGCCAGGTCCAGCGGTGTCCTGGTGTTGGGCATACACTTAATTAGGCACTCGGGTTGGGGTAGTAGGTAGGTAGTTGCTTTTTTCGAGCGTATATGCTATTATATTCGGTGCCTGGAGTATACCCGCAGCTGAAGCTGAGAAAGCCTTCTAAACCGCAACCCCCCAAGTTACTGAGTTGCCAAGTGCCCATTCAAGCCCGGAACCCTAAACCCTAAACCGGTCCTATGTACTGCTTTAGGGGATACTTCCCTCAGTCTCATAATTTCTCATGTGGAAACCCAACGTTCTACTAGAGAGGTACATACAGGACGTTTTGGGTACATAGCACATGTAGAACCCTGAAAGGAACACTTCCATCCTGGAACCTTCTAGAAAGTCTACACGAGCACATATATATATATATATATAGTATAAGATGATATAGTATAGTATAATATAGCATAATATAATGTAATATAATATAATATGATATAATGTGTATATATTTCTATAACCCCTGAACCCTGAACCCGCCCTAAAGCCTCAACTGTTATAGAGGCGACAAGGAGCTTGTCCAGCAACCTTCAAAGAACGCAGCTGTGTCTCCGAAACCCTGAGCCCCAAGCGCCAATGGGAACCGAAAGCCTGTACTCAATGCAAATTCTAAACCCAAAACCCTAAACCCCAAACCCAAAACCCTAAACCCTAAACCCTAAACCGAATATGCCTACGGTGTTCAGGCTGAGGCTGTAAGCGTTCAGGGTTTAGGGGTTTAGGGTCTAGGGTCTATAGGGTCTGGGGTTTTTAGGTTTAGGGTCTAGGGTTTAGGGTTTTCGGATGCACCTGGACCCTAGAAAACCTGCAGTTTTGAGGACGTATCTCAGGAAATCCCAATCTGGAACCCTAAAAAAACGCAGCTTGCTTGGGGTGCAGGTAGGGGTCGGGCAAGTTTGTCATCCTTTGCCCTGAAAAATACGGTTTTATGATTTATGCGGTCTATTTTGCTATGAGGTTCCGTATTACCCGACAGGGTCCAAGCATAACTACTATCCCACTATTCATATGGGTATAATTTTAATATAGTTCTCTAAAGTAGCCATGATCCTCTAACCAAGTTGTGTTGTACACGCGTTGCTCAACTCCGCCACAAAAGTTGGGTTTAGGGCCAGTTTAGGGTTTAGGGAAGGTCCTAAATTACAAAAACCAACCCAGCCAACACTCGCAACAGGCCTAAAACCTGAAACTTAAGCCGACAGTCCAAAACACTCCTTAGTCCCAAAGACTGCCATCCGAAACTCAAGACCCAAGTGCCTTCCGAAGTTGTCTGCCTTGCGGATGTCAACGCCGACCTGGAGCAAAGCTGCCAGCTGTGCATGAATGATCGTGGGTCTGGGTTGAAGGATTCCGGAGTTTGGATGTGGGTCAACCAATCAATAAATAAACTCTCTCTCTATATGTAGATATAGTTTACTTGTTTACGTATGCATATACATATATATATATATATATATCTTTCTTTCTTGGTGTATGCATATGTATACTGTATTGATATTTATATTGTTGCTCCTGCATAGACACATATATAGATATACATATATCTATATAACTATAATAATATTGTGAATGCGAATACACATAAACTATTGTGAATGCGAATACACAGTTAAACAATAAACTAATAACCAACTATGCTGTAAGGGTTAGCGTCTCGTGTTTTGCGTTCACGGACTTTGGGTTTAGATGTGAATGATGCAGAATATAGCTCCCTCTCCCGTGCGGTCGTGAAGGGGATAGGGTTTAGGGATTTAGGGGCTTCAGGGGTTCAGAGTTTAGGGGTTTAGGGTTTAGGGATTATGGTGCCGACCTGCTGTAAGAGATCTAGACACCCTGAGCCTCGAGCCCTGCGACAAAGACCCGGCATATTAGCAAAAACATGAGCGAGAGTTCATGGTCATAGGGGTGCCTTTCCTGAGGATCGATTCCGGAGGTCCCACATCCTTGAAATTCTGATACCTCGAAGCATTTGCCCCTGGCCCTCAGCCCCGCGACAATTTGGTATTCGCAGTCCTTCATACACTTCCGTATCACAGCGGATTTCTTAGATCCTGATTGCATGCCCTAGCAAGCTGGCATTGCGAAAGATTGACAAAGTGAAACGAACTTTGAACAGCTCCCTCCCTGGAACCTACAGTAGAAGCCCAAAAGTTGGAAACCCAATAGCCTCAATCCTTAAGAGTAGTGAACAGGGAATCCCAGCACTGTTTGTCCTTAATCCGGTTTCCAAGCTTTTTGGGGTGTACTATACACCTCAAACCCCAGAGAGGCCTTCCCTGCCCCCGGGCTTATTATGGCCATAGTATGGGCTTAATATGGCCATAATAAGGGCTTATGGCCATAATAAGGGCTTAATGTGGCCACACCCACCTTCAGCATCATCTTCACAACCTCAACGTTTCCCTGTCGAGCTGCCTGCACGTCCAGTCGGTGCGACAGTCTTTGCTCTAAGATAAGTTCATAGGAAGCCAGGACATTGAGCGCCCACTAGTATAGGAGTCTTAATGCTTAGAACAAGACTTCAAAGTCTAATTTCCTGGTACATTTACATTAAGGAACCTGCATAGCGAAGGAAGCATATTGGCAATAATTATTTAGGCCCAGATAGTTAATAGTCCGAATGTCGCTTGAGACATAATTACAGGGAGTGAGTCTTCCTTGAATAAGGGATCTTGGGTTCATGGTTGAGGGTTTAGGGTTTAGGGTCGATAAGCACAGGACAGGCAGTGCTTGACGGCCTAGATGCTGGGATGATGGTTATGATTATAGGAACGTGTTTCGAATCACCGAGGCTTTCATAGTTGTGAACCTTGAGGATGATGCAAGAACACGAGAGCACAATGGGCTGAATTCTTGGCTTGTCAGTTCCCCGTTCAACAGTTTCCTTTTCGTCAGCTCCAGCAAGAAAGGAACAAAAGGCATCACTTTGTTTTTGCGAACAAGACCCTGTATCATCCAGAGACACGAGCTATCACAAAGATTTTGCGGTACCTAGAGCACTGCAGCAGCTTGCCCATCAGACGTAACGTACCTCCGGACTGTCTTTTGGTCTTGCGAACAGTTTGCATGCGCAGTCCTGCTTACGAAGCGTGGATCGTTAAAGGGGACACAAACTTTCGAAGAAACTACATCTACGTTAGTTTACGGCTGAGGTATCGGACTCCAGTGCAGTCTCGAACTGTCGATCCAAGCTGACGCATGCCAGAACATGTTCAAGAAATGTCATGTGGTCAGTATCCATTGATTATTCTTGGACCCTACATGCCAAACACCCAAACACTGAGCCTTGTATTTAGGTCGGCCCCACCCTGTGCAGAACATTAGTCAGCAAGATCGAGCATTAGTCGGCAAGATCCTTGTTGTAGACCCAACAACAAAGGACCGGGATCATTGTAAAATCTATCAGTTACCTCATAACGCTTAACTTACCCCCCGAAACACAAAACCAACACCCTAAGCACGAGAAGTTCCTCGTGAAGTGGCGTCCGGCCGAACCAGTCGGCTTGGTTTCGATTAGCGCCTGATTCAAAAGGTCAGGGTTTTGCATTAGGGGTTGAGGTTTGGGATTTAAGCTTTGGGGTTTTAAACTTGGGTTTGGGGTTTGGGGTTCAGCATCGCGGATTCAGGGTTCAAGCGTTGAGCTCTGGGGAGGGCGGAGGGGAGGAGGGCTGCCTTGCACTGTCATGATGCACGGACAACATCTCCAAGCGACATAGTTACACACACCTTGGTGATAGATCGTTCCTCGCGGGAATCACCAGGATGGGAAAGGGTTCCAAAGGACTCGTGAGTGGCTTCCAGCAAGAAGTACAGTAAGTACAGTTCACGACACTGTGGTCTAAGTACTGTTGATGATATAAACCCTGCATTACCTTAAGGACCCTAAACTATGGGAACTATGGTATATTCTTCATTAGGGTTAATGCAGGAATTATATCATCAGCCGTAGTACACTACCTGACATTCGCTTACAAACTGGCCTTGAGCCTTAAAGCTACCTTGAGCCCGTAAGGCTCGCAGCCTTGGGTTGCAAGCTCAGGGTTTCCCGGGCATGCCGATAATCTCGAACTGCATTTCTTTATATATAATATAAGACGTATATATATATATATATAATATGATTTGATATGATATGATATAATATAACATAATATGATAAAATATAATATAATATAATATAATATAATATAATATAATATAATATAATATAATTTCACAAAATATAATATAGTATAATATAATATAATATAATACATATATATATATATATACTTATAATATT